ACGTGTGGTGACGAATACATTGGCGAAACGGGTAGACCCCTCTGTGTCCGCATGAAAGAACACCTAGCCGGCAAAAATAGACCAAATACCCCGCTAGGCACGCATAGGACCCAGAGACATAACGGGGACGACTTCGAAGTATGTGTCACGATCCTCGCACGCGAATCAAGAACACAGGCGCGAAAATCTCTCGAGGCACTCTGGATTAATTCCAGAAATCCGAAAAGGAACCGCAGGGAAGAATGCCTCATTATCACGCGTGATATAAGGCAGTATATAAAACTGCTTTTCTGATGTGAGGGGCACATTATACTTCCACGTGATTTCTGTGCGGTTGGTCTCTACGTGACATACTTAGTGGAAACCTCATAGAAAGCGGTGAGTGTGCAAAGCTGTGTTCAACGTGATTGAAATCTTGGTTTGGAGTTTCTTTGTTTGGTTATGGAGGCGTCTGGCCGAGTGAGTTGCTATCAACTTGACCTTTCCAGGCTCTGAAGAAGGCGAAATCCGCCGAAACGTCAGCTTAATCGTGAACAAAGAATAGTAACACCTCGCGTTTGCTCAACAAAGCTACTCGTAGTTTATTCGGAGTCAGAGAACAAGTCCCCGCATTTTTACTGCTCCCCCAAATTTACTCCGAAGCTACGCTTGTGAATAAGTAGTTGTTTGTTGGAGACAACTTTCAATCAGCTCATGTAACGATTCACCAACCTCAGTGCACATTTTTGGCCGAACCGATGTGCAAGAAACATTCCGCGTTTGAGCTCCACCATTGATGGAGGTATGAATGGAAACCTACATCCACAGAAAGTAAATGTGACTCAATGTACAACTTTTTATTTACTGCCCATTTTCTCACAATGGGTTATTATCTGAAATACAACCACAGTGGTGCTGCGATATTTGCAAGACCCCAGGCCAGATTCAAACCTGTGGATGCCCTTTCAGGGGGGCCATGTGTTACCTACTGCACCGATCCAGTCCCCTGCTTTGTCTTCCCATTAGCCAGTTTTTTAACGGTAATCAACCATCAACGGCAATGATCGGTGAAGCACAAATTGGCGTTGAACCTAGTTAAGCTAAGGCTGCAAAGAGAATCACAATATACAAGTTCTTCACCGTTTTTCTTCAATGATCAAACACGTGTTTGGTATTATAGCATTTATTAACTCACAACAGCTAAAATTTCGGTGGTTTTGGCTTCTTCAAAGCCTATGAAGGTGTTACCTGAGCTAGACACACTCTTGGTCCGCGTAACGCACTGTGCTGCTTTTCTCCATTAACTGGAAGACTTACAACGAACAGAACGGTGGTTTAAAAAACTGTTCATTATGCGAATGCAAATTTATGTGCTAAGTTTTATCTACTAGAGTTATGAAAGTGTTTGGCTATGCAGATTCCATGTTTGACCTTTCCAGGCCCTGACAAAGGCGAAACCGCCGAAACAACTACTATTATGTGCTAATCAGTGCTATGATACCAACCTCATGTTTGGTCATTGAAGAAAATTGACTTGTCGATCAATGCCGAGGTTATTAGAAAGTGCGTCCCGGTATAACTTTTTATTTGCCATCTGGTCACTTAACTATCACTTTTTAACTTATTAATATTTAAGTTTGGGGTTCTATGTCTATCAATTTGGAGTTGTAGAGATAGCTAACCTGCAACCTATGCACTACGTCACCTCGTGACAAAATGGGTGAACACCAAGATCAGTGAACGTTATAGTTCACAGAAAATGAAACGCTTAAAACATATTGAGCACTTTCCGATGTGAAATTTCATAAATTCTGGATTGAAGATAGGGCTAGCTTTGGAATTTGGATAGTGCGTCCTTCTAGATTTTGTTTGTCATGTAATATTTTAGAAGCGTTTCCATCAGGAACCGTAGCTAAGAGTGAACCAGTATCAGGATCCACCACTGTCCTGGTGTCAAAGTCGCATGATGGCAAATCTCCCTCTGATCCACAAGGGTTGCGGCTGCCTGCCGTGGTGACGACTTGGGACAGACTTTGGCCAGGCTGACCTCGGGATTTCAGGCAACCACAATGGCTTAACCAGCAAATCTCCGAAAAATGGTGATTATGCTGGGGACCGCACAACCAGTGAGGATGAGCCATTCAAGTATCAAGTATCATATTTGAGAAGACACTATTTAACAGCTCCTGTGAGTGGTTCTACGAGGACTGCAAGTTAGAATTCGAAATAATTAAAAGTTTTAGGGCACAAAAGCACAACGGCGACGATTTTGAAGTTAATGTGCGGATCCTAGCGCAGGAATCGAAAACATCAATGCGCAAAACTCTTGAGGCGTTTTGGATAAATTTCAAAAATCCAAAGATGAACCGGAAGGACGAATGCCTCACTATCACGCGTGACCTGGCGCCCTATTTCAAAATGATATTTTGACCGCTGGGCGTGTCTTGCTCGCGACTCCACGTGAACTACGTGTGGGCCAGTCCCACACGTAACATCACGGTGAGTGGCCTTTCTGTTCAATATGGCGCCTATTTGAAAGTTTGGTCTTCATTAACACTTTAACCTTTCTCTTCCACCGAATAATAAAAATATTCTAATATTAAATACGTCTAAGGCTCTGAGTGAGGCGAAGTCGCCGAAACGTCAGCCATCGATCAATAACATCAAAAGCAACGACAACGACAACGAAGATCTGTACCAACCTCGCGTCAGCTTAAGAAGATCAGTTTATAAAATCACATAAATAAATATATCAACTATCTATGCCGAGGTTTATAGAAAGTCGGTCCTTCGAGCTATTAAGAAATGAGAAGCATAGATTCTTCACCCGAAGTTCGAATTGAAATAAAAAGCGTGAAGGAAGAAATAGCTCGAAAATCCGATAGCATCACAGCATTCGAGGTAGCAGGCGCAGGCAACATGTTCCTCTCGCAATGAATATAGCATTTTAATTTCAGCAGGAGGAAATCCCAGACCACTGGAGGACCTCGTTCTCGGTGATTCTCCAAGAAGAGTGCCTGAACTGATCTTCGTAACTTTCATCCGATATACTTCTTGAATGTACTTCGCAAGCTCTTCACGAAAATTGTCCTCTCGCACATACCAAGGACTTTAGGTAAGGCTTTTTCATCGGACCCTTACCACACTTATAGGAAAAAGTGTCCGACAACGCGACACCATCTCATCAAAACCCTATTGCCATTTCATAGGGAATAATGAAGTCATTCCATTTGGACGAAAAGGACATGCAGATTGATAGGAACCCTTATCGAATCATCGTTTTCCTGACGACATTCCTCGTTATCCTTTTAAAAAGTACCACTAATGCTGAGACAATGCTCGACGAAATAGGGAAAAGAAACCGAGTCAGCACAAATTGGAAGAAAACCTTATAAAGTACAAGTAATCGTACATTCTTTTTTTTTGCATTTTTGTGGGCAAGTTAAAAGGCTAAAGGATAAAGCTTTCGGCGTTGATCAATCCCTGAGGGATACGCCATGCATTCTACTTCATCAAGCATCGTTTTGAGGTGATTGAATGCATATCTGGCCTTTACAATGACTCGCCGTGGCGTAACGATGTATCGACCCAGTGCTGCTATCCTCCCAGACAAGTCTGGCACCAATTTTCGGGCTGTGGGAGGTTGGAAGGCTTGGTGGGCCATGGGCGCAGGTATCGCTCCCACGTGTGTAATGCAGGGCGCCTCCGACCACTGCACCACACGCGCCCGTGAGTAGATTAATAAATAATAATTAGGCAGTCGAAATTTTCTCAGTCACTACACCATTAACGTCAAGCAATTTATTTTTTTACGGCTGTGATCACACAACACAAAAAAATGATGAAGGAGGATTCACCGATTTGCAGAATGAAAGGAAGCACTATACGTGATTTGCTCCAGGATAACATGTGCTGGATATCAGTGTATTGTTGAAAGGATGTACTTTCCGTGATTCTATCTCCGTTTTATGAGGCACTGAATCGGAGAGTAGTAGCACGGTTTGAATCGTTTTATTGGAAACTTCGCGTTTTTCTTGTTTTCCTGGAAGAAGTTGAGCTAGAATGACTAGTTAATTGTTCAAAGCTATCCGCATACCTGTAATATATCATCTCTTAAGTACAGGTCTTCTAGAGCACGCCACTGTTCAAGTGCTGAACGGACATCATTCAATGAACCTGCGTATCTGTAATGAAAATTTCACAATCAACCGTTCTAGTGGGAACCTTTAAATGAATAATAATTGCTTCCTATTTTAATATTCCCTGCACAGCTGGTAATATTGCTGTTTCAAATATCGAAAAAAGCTGGTGTAGAGCCAACTGATAAGATATCACCATTCTGGAATACTTGGATGGTTTGCCTTTACAGATCACGAAAAGTGTTGGTAGCACTAGCAAATTTCTGTAAGAGTAGTGGTTTGTTGGTTGGATGGTGCATCCTTTCATTTTTTTCTAGTCTCTTAGGCCGTGCTACAACTTCCCTGACCACATCCTGGTCAGCAAGTGAGCCTATTGTTGCAAGAATAGCAGTAACTTCTGCGCCTGCTTTCGTCTAAGGTTAGCCTAAGTGTCGAACTTCTTATAAACTAGAGAAACACGACTTGAGGAAGGAAAAATGCTACAGTTCCACAACCACGAACACCTCTACGCCCACAGCTATGGTGAGTTGCGAAAGCACCAACGAAGTAATACACTCTGACGCTGGAAAGAACCGAATATAATGGGAACCTGCATGTAATAGAGGATAAGATTTTGCTAATTTAATGGGCTACTGTCATACGCATTAACTACGCTCACAGATTATTGCTTTGATAACTGTTTAAAGAAATAGGCTACGTCGCGCGACCCTAGGTGGTAGGTAGAGGGTTAATCGCGGACCAAAAGTGACCCTTGCTTCCCTGAGACGCAGGTGGATCGAGGGGATGGACTCCCTGCTTCTGCTGGGCTGAGTTGGCACATACTTTCTGTATTTGCTAGGCGTCTTCATACATGCGTATATAGGCGCGTTCTCGCTTATGCGGATTGTATTCTACGAGTCAATCCGGACAAAAGCCTGCAATCAAGTGACAGAAGTGTATGGGAGCCAGCAAGGAGTCGCCTTCAGCAAATAAGTTCCACGTCTTCTTTGGGAGATACTGGCATGGCAACCTACTCGAGAGTATAACCAGCCCAACGCTCAGAGCTCAACAAACTATGCGTGGGATATCAAAATGCTAAACACAATTTTAAAAAATGGGCCTCCTTCCCCTGACTCCGAAAGAGCCCCCAATTTCGCAGCGTTGGGTAGGACGAGTACAGAGAGGGTGCTAAAATCTTTAGGCCAATGGAAGCTGCCTGGATTTCAAAGAAAGTGACGATGATAGTGACGATCTGTACCTACAATGCACGTACACTTGCATCCGAGTCCTCGATAGAAGACTTGTTCATGCAAGCAAGAAGGATAGGGTACGGCGTCATCGATCTGGCCGAGACGAGAAGACGCCAGCCTTTCAACGCCGTCTATGACATCGGAGAAGAACTGTTCCTCGGAACATGCGACAGTAGAGGAGTCGGCGGCGTCGGCGTTCTCGTCAACACGAGTTTGTCCATGAACATCAATTCATTCGAACAACTTACAACTCGAATCGGACGTTTACGATTAAGAAGACGTGGAACATTTCCGGCTTCGACAATCTTCGTCGTTTACGCGCCGACATCAAACCATGACGAAGAAGAAATCGAAGCGTTCTATGTGGATTTGGAGAAATTCTACGGAGAAGACCACACATTCTTCAAGGTTGTAGAGATTGGAGACTTAAACGCCAAGATGGGACAAGAAAGAACGTCTGAAGAAGGTCATAGTGGGACAAACGGAACGACAGAGTGAGCGGCTATCTGATTTTACCATGGCGACCAAGACAATCAATGGTAACTCGCAATTGCAGAAGCCCCACCCTCAGCGCTGGACGTGGGAGTCTCCCAATGGAGAGTTCCATAACGAAATAGACCACATCATAGTAAATAGATGGTTAAATTCTACAAGGGATCAGACCATCGCCTCCTTCGCTCAAAATTATACTTCTCGTGAAAAGGAGAAAAAGTCGCTGAATTTAAAAACCGAGGTTCCAGAATCCACCGTAAACAGGGACTTATTCAATTCATTAGTCGGCTGTTGGAAAAATGCCGTTGTCGACAACATCGACGAAGGATACGATCTGCTCATTCAATATCTTCGCGTTAGCGCTATGAAAGGTGAAAGTTCGAAGGTCACCAAGAGACGTTTGTCTGCAGAAACACCCGAGCTGATACGCCAGCTGGAATCGCACGAGCTGCAAGCAACTGCGAACTAACGTCCGAACTTGCAAAACAATTCAGACAGACGATAAAACAAGATCTTAAAGGGAGAAGAGTAGCAGCAAAGGTGCATGCTGCAGAGGCGGGGAAAAGCATTCGCAAAGCCCACCGAAGCTTCTCCAATTACAAGACCAAGATGATTGCACTCCGGCGCCCAAACGGAACACTTACAACGTCCAGAAAGCCAATTGAGAAAAAACCATTCATGAATACTACTCATATCTCTTCGATAGCCACGTCCACCTTCCGTCATATGAAATAAAGGAGGGTGGATATGTTGTACCACCGGTTCTCCCTCCCGAAATCCGACATGCCATTTCGTCGCTGAAAAATCGAACAGAACCAGGTCCGGACAGAATAGGACAAGAACACTTGAGGAACCTTCCGCCAGTCCTCGTAAACACACTGGCTCGGGTCTTCACATGTTACCTGTCTGAATGCAAGGTCTCTACTCAGTGGAAGACCAGCAAGACCGTGTTATTGTTCAAGAAGCGTGACCTGCACGATATCGGCAACTATCGCCCAATCTGCTTACTGTCTGTCGTCTACAAACTTTTCACTCGAGTCAACCTAAACAGGATTGACAGAACACTAGACAGCCATGTCAGCAAGCAGGGTTTCGAAGAGGATTTAGTAGGATGGACCACATCCACACGGTAACACAGCTCATTGAAGTATCGCGGGAGTACAAAAGACCACTCTGTCTCACTTTCATCGATTTACAGAAGGGCCTTTGAATCATTTGAGATAGAAACTGTCTTGGAAGCCCTTGATAGTCAAGGAGTCCCTATTCAGTACGTAAAGATTCTTCGTGAGCTGTTCAAAAATTTCAAAACCAAGATATCACCATTCTACAGCGATATTAGCATTGACGTCAAAAGAGGATTGAGGTAAGGCGATATTATCTCGCCAAAATTATTTACCGCCACCCTCCAGAACGTCATGCGGACGTTGAAATGGGACAATATGGGAGTAAAAATCGATGGTCGTCAGTTACACCATCTTCGCTTTTCTAATGACATCGTCCTTATAACACCAAACATTAACCAAGCGGAACGTATGCTTGACGACTTTGATAAAGCCTGTGAAATGATTGGTCTTCCACTGAATCTCACAGAAACGATGTTCATGAAGAACGGATTGGTCTCGTATGCCCCATTCACGCCCAACGGAACGAATATCTCCGAATGCTCCAGTTATGTCTACCTGGGTCAGGAAATCAATATGATGAACGACTCAGCTCCACAACTGAGCAGAAGGAAACGAGAGGCTTGTGGAGCTTTCAAGAGTATCGAGGATGTAGTGAAGAGAACAAAGAACACCCGACTACGTGCCAGCCTTTTCGACCCAGCAGTGCTTCTTGCCCAAGCGTATGCGTGAGAAAGCTGGTCGATGCGTAAGCAGGATGAAAGGTCACTCAGCGTTATCGAACGCACAGTCGAAAGGACGATGCTAGGAGTATCCCGTTTCACATAAGTAAGGGATGGGATCCGAAGCTCCGATCTGTGTCAACGATCGAAAATCAAAGATGCCGTTCTGTACGCCAAACAGTCGAAGATAAGGTTAGCCGGACACGTAATATGTATGAAGGACAACCGATGGACAGAAGCCGTTAGTGACTGGATTACTCGGGATGTCAAACATACTGCAGGAAGACCACCGACCCGATGGTCAGAGTTTTTCACGAAGAGTGTAGAAAAAATATATGATGCTGGACGAATCCCTAGAGCAAGCAGAACGTACTGGGCTACTTTTACACGCGACAGGGAAAAGTAGAAAATTTACTGGCGCCCGCTCGAGTCACTCGATGATCAATGGAACTATAGGTGACACAGTGAATGAGCAAAATATGTTAACCCTTGTCGCTCCCCAAAGTCGCTTACTACGATTCACTTGCGCCCAGAATACAAAGAGCTCTGTGATTTTTTTTGCAAGACTTTTTTCCTTTAGTGTACTTGGTCATAGTGCAGTCGCCGGGATCACTCCTTGCTCGAGTATGAATTACGAGTACGATAGCGTATCATGTAAAAAAGCCATTAGTATGATAAAGCCAGATTCCAAGGTACCACAATGGCTTAACCAGCAAATCTCCGAAAAATGGTGATTATACTCGAGCCCGCACAACTAGTGAGGACGGGCCATTTAACTATCAAGTTAGTAAGTAATTTCCTTTCCATAATTGAAGAAGTTACAAACATTAGTAGTTGATTAATTAGGGAGGTGATGAACTGCGTTGAAAATAGAAGCCGTTGCCTTAGTAACATCCGTAATGGTGCAAACTACAAGTATTAATCGGTGCTCAGTTAGTGAGATATGGAACTTCTTTCCAAATTGAAGCCAGCCTTCATCTACTATCACTCTGAATTCTGGTTAAGGACGTCTAGGTCCTTTTCTTCGCGCACAAAATTTCAGAAGAAGGAAATTCATCTATCAGAGGTGGTGGCCTCTGCAGCACAACTCAACTCAGTTCCAACGATGTAGGGCAATAAATGTGTTCCCGTTCTCGAACATAAACAAGTGCGAACATTTCTAAAGCAATTTCCTTTTCACTATCGTTAAAGCGCATCGTAGATTTTTTCTACGTCGACGTTCTCGAAATCGAATTGTTGACGTTCCACGATAAACAACGAGCTTTGCTCCTTACGTTCAAAGTTTCTTCACAACCCGACAAAGTATGACTACATAGTTGTAAACAGAGAAATAAAGTAGATGTAAAGGTTGGCTATAACAGAAAGCTGAACGGTTGTTCTTATAATGATTCTTGAGTATTTGCAAAACTCCGGATGGCTGGTGTCTGCGGTGGGGACCGAACTCGCTATTATCCTGTCCGAGGTCTAACGCGTTCACAACCACACGATGCGAGGCATTCGTTTCTCTTTCTTCTCAGCCGTGTTATTGACGGAGTTTTGCACATGTCTCACCATCCTTATGGTTATGACCACATGACAGTGATCGATAGAATTAGTTGAGAGACAGGCGAAACGAAGGACTCGCATGTTGTGGTGCGTTCGTTCCCCACCGCAGACATCTGCGGTCCGGAGTTTTGCACATATCTCAGCATAATTATGACTATATTTCAATGGTACCTTGTCCTTAAAGAAAAGAATTGGCAGTGAATAAAAAGTGATGGAATTGTGTTCTGATCTCGGTTAAATAAAGAAGCTGCGATGCTACAGTGCCCCTCATTGGTACTCGAAGTGGATAACTCAATCTGGTAGCATCCACAATCAACGGCGAGTACGAGATCGCGCTGCGCTTAACATGATTTTGACTCCTCTCCGACGATAATAGAAGTCACATGAGATGATACTCGTTAAGATTTAGATGTGATCACATCAGAAATCCTCCCAACCACTACGATCCGCTTTGTCACATAGAGGAGTAGAAATTGTACATTTTGAATCGCTCACCAAAAAATGGCATTATTGAAAGAATGATTACTGTTCAAGTGTTGACAACAAGAAGGTCTCCGGAAAATCATCATTAATATTCCTTTAAAAAATAAGGGATAAAACCTTCGACCGTTGTTAACTGCTGACTAAAGTGGCTGGATACATATTTGCCCAATACAACGACCATCGGCACCTAACGATGCATCAAGTGGATGATTTTATCCTTCCAGACAAGCCTGGCATCAGCTTGTCGACACTGGAGAGATGGGTGTTTAGTTAGTCCAGGGCATGGGATCCAAACAAAGACAACGTGTGTTGCACGTCACCTGTAACAACTGCGCTGCTCACGCCCCCTATGTTCCTTCAGTGAATCAAATGTGCCCTTAGACAGCGTTTTCATTTGTATTATGCGATCCTAGGCGCACGTAGTGGCCAACTACTGTCAAGAAGTTCTTTATTTTATAACAGACTACACTACACTAACTACGTGACATGATAGTCGATCGTTGACGGAATAACGGTAGATTATGGTAGATGAGGCAAGATTTTGTAAGTGACTCCTTCATCTTCTGCAGCGTTATCTGCGTAATTTCAAGACGATTGGGCCTGTTCTACTCATCAAAATTGAGTCACCATGCTGCAGTTTCTAGTGTATTCCATTGATTTTGGTATGGCAGTTCTTTTCCGTAATTGTTTCACCAGCACTTATTAAGTTTTAATAGAAGCTTTGTATTGATAACTTTCTTTCGATGCAAATTCAGCTTTCAGAAGGGCTTAAGGGCTTCATATCTGCCCAGCCACCATTCTGAGCGGCTAGAAATGAGTCGTTGTTTCTTGGTCCAAATGCTCAATGACCGTATAATGGTCGACGATGTACTTCAGCAAGCTCAAGTCATCTGGATGACTACTCCCAGCTGGTCGTTGTCATCTTCGGCCTGACAGCCATTGCACTCCTCATCTTAAACGCTTTCGTCTTTTCTCTGGATTAAATGTGGGATCCACCCCAATGTCTCCAGTCAGATGGTAACTTTCATCAGTGCAAAAACTGTGATTGCCTTTACATCATACCTCATTTATATGACTTCTTAGAAGTATAACGTCTTCGTTTAGTTTCGTCTTGCGAGGAATTTTTCGAATCGTC